TGGGGACCCTTGAACTAGTGTATTTATAAAAATAAAAAAAAAGGAAGGAAGAGATTGCGAGGCCCCTGTGTGGTGCGAGGCCCTGTGCGACGGCACAGGTCGCACAGCCCTTCCGACGGGCATGCCGGCCAGCCTCCTGCCAACCCTCTCACAGCAAAGCAGGCAGTTTAAAAGGCATCCACTTCCTGTCAAGCAACGCTTCCTGAGGCTCTTAAACACCCACCACCTCCCTAGCACCCCTCTGGCTCTGGCTCTTGGCTCCTGCTCTGGCTCCCACCCCGCCTACGCCCCATTCACACCATACTCTAGCCACCACCAGTGCTTGACCCCGGGGATCTGAGATCATCTTCAGCTGGAATCGATCTCATCGCTGCAAGTGTCACTGCCATGGTCAATGCGCCAAACAAATAAATAATTTTATTGTATTCCTTGTGTCTTTGGTCTCTTCAGATTGCATTAATAGCTGGTGGTGAGCCGTGACTTTTTTTTTTTAAAGGTGTGCCTTTTTTAACGGCTCAAAAAGGTTGGGGAACACTGATTTAGAAGGTCCATAAATAGTTAATGTATTATTGTGTTTTTGACCAAGCAAATACAGGGAACAAACATGGCTTCTTTTCTCTTTAATCAACAATTATAGCAATTTCAAATGCTAACATATGCTTCGCTTTCCATCCTCTTTCCAATGCAAGCTGTTCTTTGGGGTGCATCAAGACAACTGGCAAGGGGTTTACTTTCATAAGTCAGAGTACGTTTTCAACATTGAATTGATGATAACAGGGATAAAAAAAGACATTGTTCAGGATACAGAAGCTATACGGCTGACATGGCAAAAAAAGCTAAATAAAATGACTACCTTTGCATATCGGTAAAAAGGCAGCTGAGAGCTTCCCCAGAAAGCCAATTATCATACTCCCATTTCAATTTGGACGCCCACGTGGGGGAAAAGCAGCGAGACGTTAGCGTGCTATTTGAGATTGAATGACTTTGCAATTCGACTAGATAAAGATGCTAGGAGGAGGTGGAGGTAGAAATGGAGTTTGCTGAGATGGCAGTCCATGGAGAGAGGGGAAGGGAACGATGGAAAGAGGAGAGGACGAGAGGAAGTGCTGGTGTGACCGTGTCCACTTAAGGAGCACTGACAGACGGAATCATGTACGCTGTCATTCAGGCCAAGTCAGCTCAGCGGAGAGCCGAGCGTGACTTATGAACACAGATTATTGCATCAAAAGAGAGTTTTAAAGAAGCATGATCAAAACCCGTGTTCAAGTATGAAAAGCAAATTAGCAACATTACTGTGCATGATCTTTATCAGCATGGAGCCAAGGTGATTTTAAAGGCATTGAACATTATTCATCAGCAGAAAAATACATTTCTTCAGAGTTTTATCCTTGGTGATGGATAGTGTACGTGCCAAACTGTAACAAATTAATTAACATTTAAATGGAAACAAAAATGTTTTGGCTAAAATAAAAATGCTGTCTGTAGGGTTCCAAACAAAATACGTCCCCCTTTTATCTTTTTCAACCATGTTACAACATTGTTCCCTCATCAGAAAACAAACCTGGGATTGTTTTATTAATTAATATTCAATCAGTAATTTCTGAGTTACTGCCTTTTCTGTCTAAAAGCTCATGTCTCATTTATGTGATTGTATCGCTACATCACACTTTAACAAAGTATTGCCTGAAAATTGTAATGGTAATTTCTCAGGTGAAATTATGGTCTTTACAATCGCATGACTGTATTTGCAACCGGTAGTTTTCAAATTGGGAGATAGAGTATGTTGATAAACTATGTTTTATCTTTGATACTTATTTCACCATATATGTTTCATTGAATTTACAATTTTACATGCTAAAACATGAACTTAAATGGTCTCTTCATGGTTCAAAAAAAGAATGCATAATATTTGTTCTTTGAATCAGACCTTGTTAAAGTGATAGTCTGTAACTCTAAATGAATTACACATTTTAGGAAATGTGTTAAATTGACCACCAGGCCTTAAATGTTGATATAAAATAAGTCATTTCATTAATTCTAATATTACAGGTAAGTCCCGCCTTCCCTTCTCTTAGCTATAGCTCAGAATTCATGACGCCGTCGAGGTTAACCAATCGAGTCATGCCAAGGGCTGTCAATCATCGGCGCTGATGCTCGCAGCTGCATGCTCAGTTGTTTGTTTTTGCGGAGCCTCCAAATCAAGCCTCTATTAGGGTCTGGAACTACATGAAAACTGAACAAAGAATTCTGAACATCTTCGCTGAGGTACTTTTGTATATACTGAACCTATATCCATAATCAGATCCTCTGCAATTCATGATAACAGCACTTCCGGGTTTGCCGCGATCGCTTTTTTTGTGCATAAAAACATTATTATTTTTAATTAAAACGCTAAAAAATAATTCTGAATACCTCCGTACATGTGTATTAATAATGTATATGGATAATGTGTTCTCTGATTAACATTTAAAAGTGTTACGGAAACGTAGGTGTAGACCAATCAGAAAGGAAGGGGTCGTTTTTTTCAAATCAAGTACCTCTCTGTCTCTCTTTCTGACAAACTCCAGACAATCACTTTAACAATGTTGTCCGTTCTAATAGTGCCCGAGTGAAAATGGACACAACTTGTTTCTGTCTGCGATAAATGCCAATCAATAGACAAATTGTCAAGAAGCAACGGGTCCACTAGACTCCTGGGTCGAGTATTTCTTAAATAAATAGTCAATAACCAACAGATGTGGCAATCATGTACTCGTGTTGCGTTGGAGGTTGTCATTAAGGATGAATTGTGAAAAACTTGTCCACACACACATATACATGCTGCATTATGTCTTACAACCGTGTGTAATTTAATAAAGGGGTGCTCTTGTAATATGTGCGAGTCATTTCTTATTATATTGCCATTTGAGCAAAATTACATTCCATTTTTTGGTTTGATTTTGTTTGACCGACATGGAGACACAAGCATATGAGAATTCAAGCAGCGTTGTTTGTCTCCCTTCGTCAGAATTCAATTTATTTCAATTTAATGGAGATTTATGGGCTTTACATTTTGATCACTAAACAAGCTGCCAAAGCCCATAGACATGTAAAGTGGCTAACACGCACAGAATGAAACAATCAAAGCAGAAAGAAACCGCATTATGATGTGTTTTCTCCAACCAGTTCAATCACAGTCAAATAAATAGGGTTATGAAATGAAAATACTAATATTTACAAATACCAGCCTGGAATGTGATGCAGACTATTGTGGAAGACAAGGTGGCAGAAATGCTATATATATATTATACACAGTACAGACCAAAAGTTTGGACACACCTTCTCATTCAAAGAGTTTTCTTTTTCATGATTATGAAATTTGTAGATTCACACTGAAGGCATGAAAACTATGAATTAACTCATGTGGAATTATGTACGTACTAAAAAAAAAGTATGAAATTACTGAAAATATCTTGCCTTATATTCTCGGTTCTTCAAAGTAGCACCTTTTCCTCTGTTTACTGCTCTGAAATGGTCTTCCAACAGTATTGAAGGAGTTCCCAGAGATGCTTAGCACTTGTTGGCCCTTCCGCCTCCACTTTGTGGTTCAGCTCACCCCAAAACCATCTGGATTGGGTTGAGGTCCAGTGACTGTGGAGGCCAGGTCATCTGGCCCAGCACCCATCACTCTCCTTCTTGGTCAAATAGCCCTTACACAGCCTGGTGTGGATCTACAGTCAATAGGCATGAAAAGAAAGACACTCATTGAATGAGAAAGTGTGTCCAAACTTTTTGTCTGTACTATTGATATATATATATTGTTACAGGCCAGGCCCTTACTGTCCAGAAGAGGGTGCTGTTATGTATTTATTTATTTAAAAAGGGTAACATAGTGTTTTTTTAAACACTATGTTTAAAAAACATAGTGTCTAAAGCAGACTTGGAGATTCTTATCCATGCATTTGTCTCCAGTAGGTTAGACTACTGCAATGGCCTGCTCACAGGTCTGTCCAAACAGGCTGTAAAACAGCTGCAGTACATTCAAAATGCAGCAGCTCGAGTCCTGACTAGAACCAGGAAGTACGACCACATTAGTCCAGTCCTCAGGTCCCTGCACTGGCTTCCTGTGGCTCAGAGAATAGACTTTAAAACAGCTCTGCTTGTGTACAAGTCTCTCCATGGCCTCGCACCAAAATATATTAGTGACATGTTAGTCCCATATGAACCAGCCCGGACTCTGAGGAGCACAGGGACTGGACTCCTGTTAGTGCCCAGAGTCATGGTGCGTTCAGACCAAACGCGATTTCTGCGGCCAAAGCGGCGGGTCTACATTGACACAACATGGGGGACGCGCGCCAAGGAGCGGCGAGAGATTACGCGGCGCGATTCGCGCGGCCAGAGCGGCGCGAATTCGAGCGTTTCGCGCGATTCGCGCGGCGAGTTTTGAGATGTTAAGCGTTTTGACGCGCGCTTCGCACGATTCGCGCTTCCAACGCGGCCGCCGCTAGAGTTGAACAATGTTGAACTTTTTGGGAGAATTCGCGTGTGCCGACCAATCAGGAGCTTTCTCCTCCAGTGACGTAGTGACGCATTTCACTACCGGGAAAACACTAGTAGATGACAGCTATGGAGGACACATTAATTGCTCAGGTCGGTGCTCATTCTGAGCTATATAACACTGCGGACCACAGCTACCGGGACCGAAATAAAAAGGAGCTTGCTTGGAGGAGGGTTAGCGAGGTGGTTGGTGTCTCGGGTAAGTTATTTTAACTTTTCACAGTTGTAAATATTTCCCCGCGAAAAAAACTACTACTTTCCTGCTTACGAGTTGATGTGTTTATTCAGTGGAAGTTTGCAAAAAGCGGTGGAAGAATCTGAGGGACACATATGCTAAGGAGAGCAGGAAGAAGGAGAAGGTGAAGAAGAGTGTAGCAGAAGCAGGGAAAGGCCAGACGTGGAAGTACCTTGTGGTCATGTCCTTCCTCGAGCCCTACATCACTCCCCGTGACAGCTCCGGGAACATGCCAAGGCGAAGGGCCGAGGAGGAGCAGACCACAGGGTACAACCACCCAGAAGAAGAGCCAGAGGAAGCAGCAGCAGCAGGGCTGTCAGGTGCTGAAGGTCGGTGTCATGCAGCAAACAGAGACCTCGAACAGTTGGAAAAAATACATTTCTTTCCTTTCTATTACCCACATTTTGCTGACTTTTACATTTATATTGCTTTCTGTGTATGCATTTCTTTTAATGCTTTCTTAACATCATGGCCAGGTGAAAATAGGCATTGGCTATTTTCAAACCAGGATAGATCTTGATCATGTGTTGTGTTGAATTTCACTTTTCCCTTTCATATGAACAAATCATTTAAATGTACATAATAATGTACATTATTATGTACATATAAATGTCATAAGCGCAATGTACACATGATATGAAATAATTGTATTTCTTGTTTTCTTCTGGCGCAGATACTGCCACCACCACACAAGGTGAGACATCTTGGCCTGAGCTGCCTGCTGCTGCTTCTGCTGCTGCTTCTGCTGCTGCTTCTGCTGCTGCTTCTGCTGCTGCTTCTGCTGCTGCTGCTGCTGCTGCTGCTGCTGCTGCTGCTGCTGCTGCAGCTGCTTCTGCTGCTGCTTCTGCTGCTGCTGCTGCTGCTGCTGCTGCTGCTGCAGCTGCTTCTGCTGCTGCTTCTGCTTCTGCTGCTGCTTCTGCTGCTGCTTCTGCTGCTGCTGCTGCTGCTGCTTCTGCTGCTGCTGCTGCTGCTGCTGCTGCTGCAGCTGCTTCTGCTGCTGCTTCTGCTGCTGCTGCTGCTGCTTCTGCTGCTGCTGCTGCTGCTGCTGCTTCTTCCTCAGCCGGTTCTTCTTCTGTGAGGGCTGGACCTTCCCCTGCTTCTGCACCTACAGGTGTGGCTTTCTTTAATCATTGTTTTATTTTTATTCTTATTACAGGACTGTTCATATAAACAAAATGTTACTGCATAATATGCCAAAATTACCCAAGGGCTGAAACATCAGTGTAGACGACAAATTTACAGAGAAACGACAAGATGTCAAGGCACTACAGGTGGAAAGAAGCTTTGGTCTGATACAACACATCTTCCCTCTTTCTTCGATAAAAACATACTACTGAAATACCTTATGCTATAAAAGTACTGAACAAATACATGCAATGGTTGCCACAAGATGGCAGCTATCCTGTTTAATGCAGACAATAGAGTATTACTTTTTTAACAGCCAATTTCAAATTTCATTGCGAAATACACTTCAGAGATATTAGTTTGTAACTGTCGAAATGTGTGCTTGTGTGAGTAATTTCATTGATAACTGCAATGTTCAAGTTAATTGTAACACAAACACACAACTTAAAAGTGTTTTACATGTGTTTAACTATGTCTACACACTCTGGCTTTAATACAGATATTATTTGCTCTCTTCATTTTGCTTTTTTGAAATATGTTCCACTTTTTAACACTGTGATTGCCCTGTGTTCTTTGAAGGCCCACCAAGGAAGAGGGCTCGGAAGAGGCCCACGTCCGTAGAGCCGCCAACAGAGTGGGAGCGGGAGCTGCTGGAGACTCTACGGACCAAAGCAGCCGCACCGCCCGACTACTCAGAAGAACATCAGTTCCTGCTCTCTCTCTTTCCTCTCCTGCAAAGGGTGGCACCAGAGTCAAAAGAATTTGTGAAATTCAAAATGTACCAACTTTTATATGAAAGCAGCACCGTTCTGCTTAATTTGGAACCATTGGCCAGAACAGACAGTTTTTTGACCTAAGGTGACACCTTTTGCAGGGGAGGAAACAGACATGTGTCCCTTTCCTCTTCCACCGCACCTCCTCCAAGCAAGCTCCTTTTCATTTGTTTATATGTACATTTAATTTATTGTTCATTGTTTGTTCCTTTTTTTATAAAGAAAATATTTTTCAAACCTCATGTGTTCTACTTCAAGCAAACCATTACTACCTTTCATATAATACTGACAGAAAATGCTATTCTATATTTGTACATTTACTTTTATAAGAGCTGACTGGGTTTTATAGAAGATGAAATAACTAACACTTAAAGAGCAATACAGTAGTTGACAGTATTTTTTATTCATTTCACCGTTTACTGTTTTAACAACCTTGTAATTACGGAGAAGCTTGAATGTGCATTTGATTAACCTGAAGTTGGAGTGGAGTCGCAGTGGAGTCTGGCAGTCATTACCTAGAAACAGAAGGTATATACAGGTGAATAGAATAGTGCAAATCAATATGGGTTTGGACTATGGCCAGAAAAAATGTAAAGAATTTCATATTCAAGAGGCTCAGCACATTATATGTTAGGAATGAAGTTAGGCTCTTTGTATTTTGTGGGTGGCTCTGAAAAGAGCCGTTGTGGGTCAGTCTTGTGGTGGACATGACTACTCTGTGGGCTGCCACGGCAGTGCTCCCTCCTCACTGAAGTGGGCCATGAACACCTTCCTTATGTCCACTGGTTCTCTGGTCGCGTTGTTGGCGGCCATCCGCTGCACGCCTGGAAGTGGTTCTTCACCGGCAGCAGCTCCCCTCGGTGCAGGAACCTGCCCATCTCCAGCCATCCTCATGGCTGGAGATGGGGAGGGCGCATTAAATTGCGGCGCAGTGGAAAGGCCTCATCTGCCACGAACACATGGGGCTGGGGTCCTCTGTGGTCAGCTCCAGGTATGCACTGGTCAGGAGGCAGGTCGAGTGTGCCCTCGCGCAGAGCCTCACCAAAGGCAGAGTTGGCCATGATGCCTCCATCGCTGGATCTGCCGTACCCTCCCACATAAATCACCCTGAACCTGTACTGGGCATCCACTACAGCCAGGAGCACAAGGGAATGGTGCCCCTTGAAATTAAAAAACATGGACCCAGAGTTGGGGGGTGCCTTCACAGCCACATGCTTCCCATCAATGGCCCCACAGCACAGAGGGAAGTTCCATCGGACCTCAAAGTCCTGCGCTATGGACCTCCACTCCTCTGCTCCAGGCACAGCCATGAACTCCTCCACGAGGCAGTCCCAGATGGCTGCCACCACATCTGGGATGAGCATGGAGACGGTGGATATGCCCACTCTGAAGCTCCCCGCAATGGTCCTGTAGGAGTCCCCAGTGGCAAGAAACCTGCAATTACAAAATGATATGAACATATTTATCACAATTACATTCATAAAAATCACGTGACAAAACTTGTGTAGCATAAAATACGTTAAACTAGTAGACAGTAAACATCATAGACAGTAATCATAGACACCAAATTGTTGCATAATACTGTTTTCTGAGCTATTACATTGTGGATTGTGATTGAAAAATGACACACTTTGTAAGTATTTAGGAATTCTGAATGGGGTAAAAAACACTAACCGCGGACAGATGGACAGGCGCTCTTCAGCTGGAATAGAGCGCCTGTAGTTGGTGTCCTGGTAGGAGATCCTAGCGCCAATGCGGGTCAGTAGGTCGTCAAACTGGGCCAGGGAGAGACGAAAGTACCGCTGAAAGCGACCCTCATCCGAGCGCAGCTCCCGGAGCAAATGGTGAAACTCACCAAACTCCAACCGTCTACGGACTATCTGATGAATCCAGACACGTCGTCGATTCGCCCTTTGACGACGTGTCTGGCTTTATTTATCAGATAAAGCCAAGCCACTCCTTCGCTGACATCCATGTTGGGAAACTACAGGCAAAAGAGACAAGCCCCGCCCCTAAACGCTCTCAACGCTCTGTGACAGCGGCTGCCCTCTAGTGTCCTGGCCGCGCGGCCAAGTTTCTCTGTGACAGCGGCTGCCACAATTTGTCACAAGCGGCCCAAGCCGCGCGATAGACGCGATTTGGCCGCAGAAATCGCGTTTGGTCTGAACGCACCATAACTGTTACTAGCCTAACTGTTACTAGCCTAAGTGTTACTAGCCTAAGTGTTACTAGCCTAAGTGTTACTAGCCTAACTGTTACTAGCCTAACTGTTACTAGTCTAACTGTTACTAGCCTAACTGTTACTAGCCTAAGTGTTACTAGCCTAAGTGTTACTAGCCTAAGTGTTACTAGCCTAACTGTTACTAGCCTAACTGTTACTAGCCTAAGTGTTACTAGCCTAACAGTTATTGCCATGGATCTATGATAATAACTGGATAGAGTATTACTAGCTTAAAGCTGTCCCACCCATGGCCACAGGGGGCGCTGTGGTACTGCAGACTAAACTCACGAGGGCTGCCCAGAAAAAGTCCCATAAAACTCAATGTAAACTAAAACAGCTCGACCTCAGCTGACAGAGAACCTGACATAGAACCTGACAGAGAACCTGACAGAGAACCTGACAGAGAACCTGATAGAGAACCTGACAGAGAACCTGACAGAGAACCTGACAGAGAACCTGACAGAGAACCTGATAGAGAACCTGACAGAGAACCTGACAGAGAACCTGACGGAGAACCTGACGGAGAACCTGACAGAGAACCTGACGGAGAACCTGACGGAGAACCTGACAGAGAACCTGACAGAGAACTTGACGGAGAACCTGACAGAGAACCTGACGGAGAACCTGACGGAGAACCTGACGGAGAACCTGACAGAGAACTTGACAGAGAACCTGACGGAGAACTTGACGGAGAACCTGACAGAGAACCTGACGGAGAACCTGACAGAGAACCTGACAGAGAACCTGACAGAGAACCTGACGGAGAACCTGACGGAGAACCTGACAGAGAACCTGACGGAGAACCTGACGGAGAACCTGACAGAGAACCTGACAGAGAACTTGACGGAGAACCTGACAGAGAACCTGACGGAGAACCTGACGGAGAACCTGACGGAGAACCTGACAGAGAACTTGACAGAGAACCTGACAGAGAACTTGACGGAGAACCTGACAGAGAACCTGACGGAGAACCTGACAGAGAACCTGACGGAGAACCTGACGGAGAACCTGACAGAGAACCTGACGGAGAACCTGACGGAGAACCTGACAGAGAACCTGACAGAGAACTTGACGGAGAACCTACAGCTTTCAGAAATATTGGATTTTGTGGGGATTTTAGTGTCCCTTGTCATCCTGAACTTTTTTTCTTCTTAAATCCTTCGGCATAGCCACAGTAAAACCTGGAAAACTGTTTTATTTGCAGTCATTAAATAAACCTTTCGGCCTTTCATAAAAGTGACAGAAGTTTATTGTGTGTTCTGTTGGTACAAAGCAGACCCCTCCGCTACATGTCAGGGTCTGCTTCCGCCCTGAAGAGCTAAGTCTGACTTTAAACTGACCCAGAGACAGACCACCTCCTCATCTCCCTCTGCAGCTTCATCGGGAACAGTTTCAGATAAATAAGTTAGATTAGTTCTATTAAACTCCCCTCTGCAGACATCAGCAGTTTTCCTGACAGGGTCTAATCGCCAAAGTTTAACAATAAATATATTAGCCTTCAGTCTAAGTCATGCATCTTGACAATAACTACTGTATTATTCGTCTCGGGTCTCTCCAGATTGAACTGTCAATCATTCTGGTGACACGTGCTCAACCAATAACACCAGAGAGTTTTGTTTAAAAAGTGGAGAAGGCGGATCTTTCCTAAAATTTGGGAAAAATTCTCCTCAAGAGTTGAAGATTAGTTCAAAATGGGCCAAAATGAACAAAACAAAAAACGCATCATATTTGTTCTTTTAAGACCTTGTTGTACATTATTTTTAACAAGACTTTCTCTGGAAATGCAGAATTAATCTCGGCAATTTCCACGGCAACAAAGCCTGAGTACCTTCATATTTTCCTTTGTTTTGTAAATAGTCAAAGTTTAAATCTAGAAATGCATACTTTTTTCAGTATTATTATTCATTTTGATTCATAGTATTTATTTGTGACTATCTTTGAAGTATTTGAAGGAAAGTAAAAAAAAAAAATAGACACAAAGTCAGTTAATGGTAGTTTTTCCAGTTTAGTGCTCACATTTGAATGTGACCGTTTTTCATAATAATTTTTGGCATTGAAATATTTCTTCAATAATAGTAATATTTCAGGAATACATAATTTTTGGTGTGATCTCTATGGCCAAGTCATTTTGGTTTTGATGAAATAAGTAGTTCTGCAATTAGAAACCTCCAAACATGGTACATCATGCTAAAATGTCAAAATGTAGATCAAAACCACAACTTTGACAACATTTTTCTCATTATCGACAGGGATTCTGTTTGTGGAACTTATTCTCGGCTGACTGTAACTATTTAGCATCACTTAAAGCAAAAAGAAAGTATTTCCCACAATCCTGGAAAATTCTAGACCTCTGTCATGAACGAGCACATGGCCTTTTAGACTGTCTTTTTAGAGAATTAAAAGTATTGGGTTCCTTTCTATCTTCTGTATAAGGGTTTTGTGATGTTATTCCCTTGATATGTTTTGACAAAGACTTTTTTTTGTATTTTTTGTCGAAACATGTCATGGTAATAACATCACAAAACCTTATATTGTCTGGTGTAGAAGAACCCTATACTTTTTAGCTTGCGTAGAATTTCACAATAAAAAAGGTTCACAGACGAGACCGAGAGGGTGAGGAGGCTGCTCACCGAGGTCCTGGCAGAGATCACAGAGGGGCCCCGGGAGCTGAGGGCCCACATGACGACCTGACAGAGACTGTGAAGAGAGCGCAGGCACAAATGAACGCAGACAGAAGCATTTACCGTCACGGAAGAATCAAAGTGGAAGAGGATTTCTCTGAAGACGGATCTGTTGTTGCGGCGTGAGAGAAGGTTCTGAACACTTGTCGACGTCTCTCATCAGGATCCAGACAGCGACAGGGAAAGTGACAAAAACAACAAAGTGCGAGACAAGATCGGGTCTTCTTTACTTTCAGATTATGTCAGACTTTCTAGAGGCAAGGCAAGTTTATTTGTATAGCACAATTTCATACACAAGGCAACTCAAAGTGCTGAACAAAATAAGAAAGCATTAAAATCATAAATAATCACAGAACATTAAAAATAAAGATAAAAATATAAAATCCCTCAGTTGTAGCACAGCTAAACAGCACTGTTTTTAACCTGTGTGACGGGCCAACTGGGCCCTCTTATTTTGACTGTTCATATCTCTGTTTTCCTGTCAGGACAGGAGGTTGGGGGCGTCGCTGGGCCCAGGCTCCACCTGTCTGCCTCAGTATTAATGGAGCACAGCTGGCAGTGTCTTCCCTCTCAGCTGCTCAGACCACCGGCTGCTCCACGTTAACCTTTGTTTAGTTTTGTTGATTTATCCACATACTGATCCACCTCACATACATGCAACACTGCATACACCACTGACCCGCGTACATATCATTTTTTGTTAATTAAATACTTAAAACTGGTATTCCTTGTGTGGTTTCCCCTCTTTGTTACTGCTCCTGAGCCTCTGGCTCAGGAGCAAAACACCTGGTTTTAAACATTGTCAGAGAGGAGGCCTGTCTCACATCTTCAGGAAGACTGTTCCCGATTTTAGCAGCGGGAATCTGAAAAGCAGCCTCCCCATGTTTAGTTCTGACTCTGGGCACTAACAGGAGTCCAGTCCCTGTGCTCCTCAGAGTCCCAGCAGGAGGCCAGTCCCTGTGCTCCTCAGAGTCCCAGCAGGAGTCCAGTCCCTGTGCTCCTCAGAGTCCCAGCAGGAGGCCAGTCCCTGTGCTCTTCAGAGTCCCAGCAGGAGTCCAGTCCCTGTTCTCCTCAGAGTCCCAGCAGGAGTCCAGTCCCTGTTCTCCTCAGAGTCCCAGCAGGAGTCCAGTCTCTGTGCTCCTCAGAGTCCCAGCAGGAGTCCAGTCCCTGTGCTCCTCAGAGTCCCAGCAGGAGTCCAGTCCCTGTGCTCCTCAGAGTCCCAGCAGGAGTCCAGTCCCTGTGCTCCTCAGAGTCCCAGCAGGAGTCCAGTCCCTGTGCTCCTCAGAGTCCGGGCTGGTTAATATGGGACTAACATGTCACTAATATATTTTGGTGCGAGGCCATGGAGAGACTTGTAACAAGCAGAGCTGTTTTAAAGTCTATTCTCTGAGCCACAGGAAGCCAGTGCAGAGACCTGAGGACCGGACTAATGTGGTCGTACTTCCTGGTTCAGTGCAGAGACCTAGGATGTGGTTATATTCTGGAGATTTGTTTCGGTCAGAAAGCAGGTGTAAATACAAGCTAATGGGAAATACTTGCATTTTTAAAAAAATAATTTGACAAGAGAGATTTTCAATGGTTTTTATAGTGGGCGACAGTAGCTCAGTAGCTTATGGCCAGAAGGTTGTGGGTTCAATTCCCACCTCTACACCTTCTCCACTGACTCCCACTGATGACTGCTGTCGTTGTGTCCTTGGGCAAGACACTTAACCCCACTTTGCCCAAAGCCCCCGCTGAAAGATCAAGGCTATGCTCACACTCAGAGAGCAGCCGTCCTCCTGTGGACTCACCACCTGCAGAGGGTCAGTGAGGGGCTGGTGCTATGAGACTTGGGTGGCATCTCTGATTGCCACCCCCCTGACCCAGATATGGATTAAAGGGAAGAAAATGGATGGATTTTTAATGGATGCTTTTATGTCTAGTTTTGGACTTTTTTGCCCTGTAAGCAAAAGTAAATTCCCAGTGACTTTCTGTTTTTTTTGGATGTATTCATTTCACATCTGCACAATACTTATTTTTACATATATCAATATAAAAGTCAAAATAAATGTGTACCTGGTTTGAAAAGGGGTTTGGATTCCAAGCCCCATCACACACAGACAAACACACAACACTGAAACGGATATAGAAATGCACTTTGCATTTTTTGTTTACATTTCCTGGTTGTATTTTATTTTAAAATTGTATTTGTGTGAATTTTATTATTTTGACGTTTTATTTTGAAATTCCCGGAAGTGCGCGCTGCTCCCCTGTGTTTTATTTTGGTAATCAACTGTCCCTCTTCAGAGAGTTGGTTCTGTCTCTGTGAAAAATACATATTTTCAATCATTTAGCTTTATTTTCCGCAATATTCACTGAGATATGTTTAGGAAGAAATGTATTAGGATGCAATGATCGTACTTTTGCACATTTTTAGTTTTTTTGTACTTTTTTTTTTAGCTAGCTTACCATGTGCTAAATGTATTGCTATGCGCTCGTTCCGTTTTCATCCTGTAGGGGGCGCCAGTGTGTCCGCTGTGACTAAAAATGTATATTTTTGGTCTATTACAGGTATGATTAATTTTTTTATTTTTTTTATTTATTTGTGCATTTGTACTCCAGCTGATTACTCCACTACCTCCAATGTATAGATTTTGATTTTTATTAAATTGTTCACATAAAATGAGACCTGAGGACCGGACTAATATGGTCATACTTCCTGGTTCAGTGCAGAAACCTAGGATGTGGTTATATTCTGGAGATTTGAACATTTGAAAATCCTGTTAAAATATGATTTGCTCCCCTCTCAAAGCCGCGTTGTGAGCTTCAGAGCCAGTATGTCCGCTGTGACTAAAAATGTATATTATTGGTGTGTCACAGGTCTGAGTAAAGTAGTTGACTCCACACTGTCCTGTTGTTACACGGACACAGGTCAAAACACTCTCCAACCCTACACCCTCTGACCCTGTCACTTAAATGGCAAGAAAATTAGTCTGATTCTGTAGCTTCAGTGTGGAAAAATCCCTAAATAATTAATAATCAAAGTCGGATTTGTATAATAATAATAATAATTGTATCTTAATCTGTATATGAATGTGTTTATAAGAATGTATATATTCACACATGTATATATTTTCGTTGTTATTATTTTACTTTTGTCTTCTTTTTCTTGTGTGTTTGAAAAGTACAACCCCAAAAAACCTCTGATTACACAAAATATATATAACAATTTCATTTATTAAGCCGCCTTTGTGGGCAAAATGTAGCAGTTAGAAAATAAAAAGGTGAAATTAGGGTCACGCTGAAAAGTCTGAAGTCGTTTTTTTTTTTTTTTTTTATCATTTATTTATGCTTTTTCAATTATTAACAAACAAACACATAAGCAGACAAACATAAACCCCATGGAGATTACCGCAAGAGAGAACACACACACACAAAAAAAATAAAAAAATAAAAAAATAAAAGAAAATTAAAAAAAAATAAAAAAAATAATAA